CCACCATTCGCTTTATCATTGGGTGTGTGATAAAGTTCGTAGTTCGGAATTGTAAAGGAACTTTGCGTCACAAAATGGGTTTCTGATACCAGCATTATGGTATGTCGCATTATGGTTTATATTTAAGAATGCTTTTATTTGAACAGCATGTTTTGATAGACCATTTGTGTTCCATATGACTACGACTAAATTAATATTTTTTTTAACGTGAACTTTAGTCTAAGCTTTTCATTAGTATTTTAGATAAAAAATATAATTATATAAAAATATAATTAATATAAATATAATTCATTATTATGGTAGCAAATATCAAAGCCAATACATTATTGTTATAATTATGCCAAAACAATTATTTACGATATTGACAGAAATTTAAAGTAATCTTAAGTGACGGAAGATTTTTGATATTCTTAGATTAAATTACTAAGTACTAAGTCTTTTCCATTGTGTGTCTTATCCACAGACCCATTGGCTTGACATAATGACATAATTTATCTTATATATAGAGGTGTCTAAAATAAGATCAATTTGATTTCTACTTAGTAGTAGTATTATAATACTAGTGACCCCAACAATTTTTAATAGTAAATGAAAATTTTGGACTTTTATATTAGACTCAGCCGGTTTTAAAATTTGCCGGTGAGTTCTATTATTTGAATATGACTGATTAGAAGGTAAAGAATATGACTTGTTCATATTGTCATATTATATACACTAATTATACTATTTGTGAATAAAGCCCCGTATTTAGTGTGACTTAAAATTGTCCACAGATAAAATAGAGTAAAGGTGCTGTTTCACCAACTCAGACATCTGAATATCAACAATATCAACTATTTGTGAATTTTATTTTATAGAATAATCTAAAATATTAAAAAGAATTATCTTCAGATTTGTGTTATTTTTCACTTTTTACTTATTCTGAAAACGTTCATCCAAAGTAAATAAGGCATATAACATATTCCTGGATTAGAAGATATTTATTAGAAATATTTATTTAGATATTTAATTCGGCTTAAATAGAATAAATAGTCAGATAGATGTGAAAACAATTATTTTATTCAATATTTAATTTATTTATGTGTGTTTTGAATTGAACTTATACAATTTTAAAAAACTATTTATTAACGTTATTGTCAGTTTTGTCAGATTTGTCGCCAATTCTAGTCGTTGACTCTGGTTTTCCCAAATTTTTGCTTTCAAAGTATTTCATGAGAGGAACGAAATAATTCAGTCCACTTAAATTGTTAACTTCTCGAAACTTATTCTTTAATAGTGCTTTCATTACATTCGATTCCCTGATAACACATATTTCAGACAATCCTTTTCTTCCTAGAAAATCGCAATTGTAGAACAGGCTGTAGGCAGGAAAAGCTGATATAATCGTTGCACTCTTAAATATTATAATATCAATTAAAGAATAGTTATTTTGTTCAATGAAAATTTATTTTTACCAATAAAAGCAATAAAATTGATTTGTTTGCTACCATTGCTGCGCTCACTTCGGCGCGGTTCGGTTTTAGTACTATTTTCATTAATCGAAAAAATTCTGTTTTTATGCAGGAATTTTATCTGCCGGATTTTGTATTCTTGGAAGTAAAATATTTAGTTAATATATTTATTTATTTTGACAGTAATTAAATATTGCAAAAAACATTTAATTTAGCTATACTTTGCAGATATTGCTGCAAGGTGCAATGCACTGAAATTTTTGAAACGACAGATAAAACCGTATAGAATTTCTTTCCCAGTCGTAATTTAAAATAGATTTAATAATTATAATATTTAAGCATCCATATTTTATATTTATAAATTGTACATTTTTAGCTTTTACTAGAGACTTTCTTTTTGTATTAATTAACACAGAACATAGAAATGACTGATTGCAACGTTTTGCTTTTCAATATGTTGGATATTTGATAAAATGGTGATATAGTGTATACCATATCATATCACGTTGTATTAGTAAAAATAACTTTGGTTTTGGTTTTGTACTTTACAACGAAATTTGGAACTAAAATCTTAATAACTGAAGCAATAATGCATATTATACCTATATATATGTCACGAATATATGTCATTATTATTAAAAACAAAATATAATCTAATGGCTAATGTGTTATCAAATTGTTTGTAAAAAAATAATTTGCTTCTTGAAAACGATGTTTTATAATACGTACTTTACGTTTTCTACTGTTTTATTTCCTTTTCTTATATCTTTTTTTGCTCTTTTCCTTATCCCTCTTCTTTATCATTTTGTTTTGTTCATGGTACAATAGGTCTCTGGCTGCAGTACCGGCTGTTGGGCAATTTTTACGACTACTCTTTAATAATAATCATTTTGTTCTTCTCCCCGCTATTCCCTTTCGTTTAGCATCTTCTCTCTCTCACTTCTTTAAGAAAGGTAGACGTTTTTGAGTTTATAAAACGATTCCCATTCATTGGGAAATGAATTTTTCGGAACTATAAAAATTGCATGGTGCAAAGTGAGAAATACACAGTAAGTAATTGATATTACCGACTTATGCAATTGCCAATAGGTTATTTAATTAATTACTTATTTCATTATTTAATTAACCTGGTTTATTCAGCTAAATTATAATTTAACTAATCTGGCTTATTCAACCAATTTATTAACATTTTTCATAGAACTTCCGTCACACCTGAAGGATAAAAATGTCCCAGAACACTGCGAAGAATAAGCGTATTCCTGTAAGGACTCTTTTAGTTGCCTGAACCGAAACCAACAGAGAAATCGTAGTCCACCACTTGCGCCTGACATAACGAAGATTTTGTGCGCTTCTCAATTATTTTATAATTTACAGATATAGTGCATGTCAAATTAATTTACCTTTGTAATTTGGAGAAAAACCTCGTGCTTTATCAAAACAATTTTTTAACTGAATCCGCGATAAAATTGAATAAAAATTTTATTGCAACAACCTTGGACGACGGCTGAGGATACCCCAGAAAAATGTAAATTTGAACACACCCGGAAAACAATCACAAATACAACAAAAATATAGCAATTGAATTCAGATCTTCGTATATAAATATCAGCTTTGATTTTGTAAGTAAAAATGACAGAGTTTTAAATTTGCTTTTGGGTAAGATAGAATGTTTGATTCATTTCCCATTAAAAACCGTGTATAAATAATAGCCACCTGATCATCGAGACGTAAATATAATCCATAGAATATTACTGGGACTCATCCACCAGCTCAAAGGATTTAGTACATTGCAGTTGTTTTCCTAAAATTATTTTATTAAGCAAGAAAGCAAGCTGGTGAAGTCTTTCCACATACAATTTTACCAATTTCCTTATTTCTTCTAAAATAGTTGGTACATTAGGGCATGGTAAAGGTAACTGTTTCTTATATACCAGAGGACAATTACCATAAAATGGGGGACTATTTTATGGATTTGATATGAATGATTTCTTAGTTTTCCTTGTGTAACTGTAAAGCTGCGCTTTTAAATTCACATCAGTTCAATACTTTATAATTTTTTCATCAATTTACAGTCCGTTGACATAAGAGAGTCTACCTATAAGCCATTCAAGGTTTCGTTATTTAATTTCTAGTTGGCTTTTATTTTAATCCAGGTTGATTACAAGATACTTTGCAGTATTTGAATATGGTTTTTAGTTGCCAAATATATAGATCAGTAGACACAATGCGGTTTTAGTTGTGAATTTCAAGTGCATTGATTTCGTATTATTCAGTGGAATTTTTTTTTGTTATTTATTTTAATATTTCGTCCATAGTACATTAGAGTGTTGATATTTATACCGGTTCAGCGTTACTAGCAGTGAAAATTATATTACCATTTTTTAATCTGGCCAAAATTGTGCTTCCAAGCTATATATTGTATATGGGTCATTATTTTACAAATCAAACACCTTTTTGACCTCATCATCTCCGATTTGGCTGAAACTTTTTTGATGAGCTCCTTTTATAAGATAAAAAAATTCGTATCTTAGCAAAAAATATTGATTTTTTTTCATATCGGATATATGAACCTTTGGAGTTTTGACAGTTAGCATTTTACAAAAGTTTTTAAACGGTCATATCTCAGGATCCATAAATGATAGAAACTTGAAATTTATTGCATTTCATAGTTAATCGATTGAAATTTTAAGAAATATTTTATACAATTATGATTGTTTATATTTAGGTTATATTTTCAAAAATTTTTTAATATAAAAGTCAGTATAAAGAGGTTTTTTCAAACAGTAGTGAAGTACAACAACAAACATTTATTTTATATTATTTTAATTAATTGAGTTTTTGGCTGACCATACAACTGTTTCGAATATTGCCAAATACCCATCATCAGTGGTCTTGGAAATAATTCTTGTATTTAATTATTCGTAAATAATTTTTTTAGACTGCAAGTACCAGAATTCACACTCGGGTCCTGTCAAATGTGAAGCTCAGAGTCAGCGCACCTTAACCAACTGAACCAAAGCCGTTTTGTTAAATTTCGATACTATTCTGTTTGTAGAGACACTATTTGTCAGTATTAAATTTTACTGAAAAATAAAAATTTTCAGAATGGTATTACGTTTGAGATTTTCACAAAAATTTTTTTATTGGCGATGAATGCATTTTCAAAGAATATGCTATAAAAATTCTTACACATTTTTTTGATTTCAATTTGAAATAGTCTGAATAAAACCCAAAAATTTCAGGACCATATTGTTCTTACAAGTATTTTTTAAAAATTAACTTATCCTTCACTGAATTTATCTTTAAATTCTACATAAAAATTAATTACTTTCGAAAAGAGAACCGTCTTGAGGCGTCTTGAGAACCTTTTTATTATATTGATGAATCAAAAAATTAGAAATTTGCAGCATTTAATTACACTCTGTTTTTTTGGTGAAGTGATTTTTTGCTGTAATTGGAAAATTTTTTGACAATAATATTTTTTTTTGAATTATAAATAAGGCATAAGTGTTTTAATGTCTGTTAGACTGATGTACCTGTTTCGAAGCGGTATTTAGTGCTAGTTTCTTCAACTTGGTAGTCTTTTAACGTTGAGAAATGGCACACAATATTTGGCAAACATTCGTTAGCCCACTTAAATAATTCCTTCGGTATTTAAATAGGATTATGTATTCGTTGAAGGCTAGCTTTTGAAGCATTCCTCTTTAAGGTTTCAGTTAAGCCGCCGAAAAGTCCTTTGGCTTAAAGGTCCAAGTGTGAACTGGGGAAAAAACGTCATTTTGCCTTTAAACCAAAGTCCGCTTTGCGAAGAGTAAAATTAATACAATTTTTTTTTATTTTTATATTCTGAACTCAATTCATCGAAAAATAAATAATTTTTTATAACAATTTGCAGTTCCACGACACTTAGTGTAAGTTCTTAAAAACATTCTATGCGGAAGCATGCGAATCATGCGGTGTAGGCATCTTTATAGTCATTTATCGGCTCTATAGTACATTTGGTAAGTCCTTTTATATTTAGTCCATAATTAATTTTATGTTTTTGTGTACGGAGCACTGAATATGTGCCACTTGCTCCTGAAAGAACGCAATATTGGGTGGCAAAGTTGCATATTTAGAAAAACCACAGTAGAGGTTTGGATGGTTTTTTTGAAAATGAGTACAACAACAATTAAAATTCAAAAACTAGATTTACGAGAAATGGGATGTGATCTTTGACAATAAAACAGTAGAATTTGATGGCAAAATGTTTGCCGTATTTGATGATAATCAAATTTCATAAATATTTGGTGACATTTAATCCTATAATATGAAACTTTTTGTATTGTACTTCTCGTTATAAAGTTGATTAGAGATTAGAGAAGCAAAAGCATTCACAATTAACATATATAAAAAAACACATAAAATGCTAAAACAAAGTATATAATACAATAATAAAAATGAAAAGCATTAATACCCGCTAATAATACATTTAAATATTATGCAGAAAAATTTTTTTTAAATGTACTAAGCAGTAGTAATAGCAATAAAACCTAATGCAAATTTAACCGTAAAAGTAACTAGAGAATCTATACAAAGCTTATTGTAATAAACCATTAGCAACATCAGCTATAAAATGAAGACCAACCGAAATCAGCTTTAAGTTTTCAAAATTCAAAATGAATTCACCCCTACCCATTATCGTACTACTATTCTTGCAATGTATGTAGACAATAAGTGACCTTAAATTAAAGAGTGAACAATTCATTGTCAAATTAACTTAATTAACAAAAGCAGATATACAGTACCATGTTTTTCAAGTTTTATCGTCTTCAAGTTTTACCGACTAATCCTAAAATATGCAAGAAATATAAAATTGTACCAAAATCTAGTTTTGAGAAACTTCAGCAAAGCTCAATGTATCGACAAACAAACCAACCTGGACAAATATTGTTTATATAGTTCACAGGTATTAAGATGATTTCTATACAACTGTCCTTATTTTATCTAATTGTGCATAATAGCTGCATAACAGAATTCGGCATCGTATCTACTTTTAAGAAATTTTCCTTATTCCAGTGGGTTTTGGCATTAATATTATATTGTAATTGATTTGGAAGTTAATGTCA